GCTTATTTTTATTATTTTATGAATGTTTAAATATTTATTCAAATTCTTTATGTATATTAGTTATTTAATATTTAATTATTTCGTTTAATTTTTTTACTAACACTTATTTTCATCATTTATTTAATATTTTAATTGCTTATTTTAATAATTTTACTAACACTTAATTTAATTATTTGTTTTTAATTAATATTTAAGTACTTTTTTTAATTCTTTATGCATATTGCTTATTTAATATTTACAAATTTATTTTAATTGATTTGCAGAAATTTAATTTGATTGATATTTTAATTTTCTAATTTAATTGCTTATTTATTATTTTACAGATGTTTAAATATTTATTTAAGTTCTTTATGTATATTACTTATTTAATATTTAATTATATCTTTTAATTTTTTTACTATTACTTAACATAAATAAGTAATTAAAATTAAATTGGCAAATAATAAATATTTAGATAAATAATAAAACATTTATATTAAGCATTTCAAAGAAATAATTTTAAATACATAATATACATTAAAATTAAACAATTCAAATAATAATTAAATATTAGACAACACAATGTAAGTAATTAAAATAAATAGTTAACTTAAAAAATTAAAGAAAATAAATAAATAAGCAATTAAAAAAAAATTTTGAGCCTCTGACGGTCGGCCCAGATGACTGGGCCGTCTGGGCACCCAAGCGACCCAGTTGACTGGGTCGTCTGGGCACAGTTGACTGGCCTAGACGGCCCAGTCAACTGGGTGCCCAGACGGCCCAATCAACTGGGCCGTCTGGGTGAGTCTGGGTCATCTGGGCATGCCTAATCGGTCCAGTAACCTGGGCTTACGTCTCCTTTGTGGAGATCATCGGAAAACTCCATTTTCGACGATCTCTACTCCATTTTCCTCCTTCCAAACTATTATGCTTACCCAAAAATTATGTATTTTTCCAAAAATCAACACATGTATATAAAATCATGTTTTTTTTTCCAAAAATCAACATAAAAACTTTAAATATGAGTCGTCTATTTTTTCTTTTTTATCAGTGTTACAGTAATTTTTCTCTTTCCTTACTATCTTCTTTAAATAGTAAGGATAAATTTGGATTTCTCTTGATTTTCAATATTTTAAACATTTTGCTTTTTTTTCTTTTTTTTTTTAATTGGTCAAAGGCCTTTTTGGAAAACTGGACCCGGCTGTTGGCCACTAATTCCTCGCACGAACACCCTAGAACCCGGCCGTCCCAACCCCGTGTTCACTCAGAGAGTCACGATTCCCAAATCATCCAACTCGTTCTTCTTTCCGATGACGATCCATGAAAGTCTTTAATTTTTTTCGTATCAATTCCTGGAATATATGACAAACACTGTCAAACGTTACTCAAATTGAAACACCCAATATCCACCGATAGGATCAGAATCAGCTAAAATTTTCTGGTATGCAAATCCACAATTTTATTACTTCCTTGATTATCGATGATATTGATGGATTGTTTCTTTTCAATAGTTTTTTGGGTTACTGTTTTTGGATATTTTATATATTATTTTCAAATTTTTTGGTGTTATTTTTCTATTTCTAATATTTTTTGCTCAAACTAAACGGTTTCTTTTAGTAAGTAAATTAATCAAATCTCTTCACGAGTATTCTGATTCGAATGTTTAGTTAATTTGTGTATCTGGGATTGTAAGCCTTGGCATTTGGGTAATTGTCACATATTGTTATTAGTAAATTTATGGAATGTGCTAAAGTTTGATTTTGAAGTGAAATCTTAGGTTTGTCATTGTTTCTTAAACTACTGTAGAGAAGCTTATTGTCATTTCAGTACACTGTCAGTTTTGTGATCTTCAAATTGCTAGCTGTGACTGTGTTTGATTTGAATTTTTTAAAGGTTAAAGATTTCTATTGGGAAATCCTGTGAAAATAATAAATTAATTTTTGAACTATAACGGTTGAGGATTTGATTTTATTCAGAAAGTGCAATTATTATTGGTATGTTACAAATATTCTCTCATGTAGACATTTTGTGCCAACAGTGACTATTGGTTTTGACTTCTTAAATATGTTCAGTCTTTCGATTCAGTATGACATAACATAATCATGTATTACCGAGTAGGACTACCGAGTATCTTTTGGTTTATCTCCTTCTACTGGAAATTATTGCCGTGAAATCAGCTGCAGCGCATCACAAGGAATGGTTTGAAGATGGCATCACTTCGCTCAGCTGGACATGTAGACCCTGGGTGGGAGCACGGTGTTGCTCAAGATGAGAGAAAGAAGAAGGTCGGATGTAATTACTGTGGAAAAGTAGTTAGCGGTGGGATATACAGATTGAAGCAACATCTAGCTCGGATTTCAGGAGAAGTAACATATTGCGACAAAGCTCCAGAGGAGGTGTGCCAGAAAATGAGAGAAAATCTAGAAGGGAGTCGTTTCGGTAAAAAGGCAAGGCAAATTGAGTACGATGAACAATCATTTATGAATTTTCACGCCAATGATGATGTGGAGGAGGAAGTGCATTCTGGATATAGGAATAAAGGTAAGCAATTGGTAAGTGACAAGGGTTTAGTGATAAATATGACTCCTCTTCGTTCATTAGGATATGTTGACCCTGGGTGGGAACACGGTGTTCCTCAGGATGACAGGAAGAAAAAGGTGAAATGCAATTACTGTGACAAGATAGTGAGTGGTGGTATTAATCGGTTCAAGCAACATCTTGCTAGAATACCGGGAGAAGTTTCTCCTTGTAAGAGTGCACCTGAGGAAGTTTATGTCAAAATGAAAGAAAATATGAAATGGCATCGTACAGGAAGGAGGCATGGACGACCTGGTACCAAGGAGATATCATCCTTTTATGTGAACTCAGAAAATGAAGATGAGGAAGACGAAGAGGAAGAAGAAAAAGAAGAAATGCATCATTTGGGCAGTGATAAACTTTTGCTTGGGGATAAAAGATATCGCAGAGATTTGAAAAGAAGTTTCAAAGGGATCTGCCAGGGTAATGGCCCTGAACCATCACCGAAAAGGCCAAGGTTTGATGCTAATATTCTGATGTCACCCAAGAGTCAGATACAAGCATCTGGCAAACAAATGAAAACAAGTTCCTCCAGCAGATCACGGAGAGAGGTCACTTCTGCTATTTGCAAGTTCTTCTATCATGCAGGAGTCCCTTTACATGCAGCCAACTCCCCTTATTTTCATAAAATGCTAGATTTGGTTGGTCAGCACGGGCCTGGTTTAGTGGGACCATCAAGCCAATTGTTATCTGGTCGGTTCTTGCAGGATGAGCTTTTGACCATCAAAAACTACCTTGCTGAATACCAGTCTTCCTGGGCGGTTACCGGGTGTTCCATTTTGGCAGATAGTTGGCAAGATATGCAGGGTAGGACATTGATCAATGTTTTAGTTTCGTGCCCCCGTGGTGTATATTTTGTTTGTTCAGTTGATGCCACTGGTGTTGCTGATGATGCAGAATATTTGTTTAAAATGCTTGACAGAGTGGTTGAGGAGACGGGTGAGGAAAATGTCGTGCAGGTAAGTTTCACTCGTGCACACACTATAATTTCCATTACTTTTGTGCTTAGCTTTGGTGAATCTGCTTTTGCCCTCCCCCATTCCACTCCTCACTGATATTAACTGTTAGTGTAGGTAATCACCGAAAATACACCCAGTTATCGGGAGGCTGGGAAGATGCTTGAAGACAAGAGAATGAATTTATTTTGGACTCCTTGTGCTGCCTTTTGTATTGATCGCATGCTTGAAGATTTTATGAAAATTAATCGAGTGCGAGAATGCATAGAGAAAGGCCAAAAAGTTACGAAGTTTATTTACAATAGGATCTGGTTGTTGAATCTGATGAAAAAGGAATTTACTGGAGGTGAGGAAGTTTTGAGGCCATCTGTTACTCGATATGCGTCAAGTTTTACTACTTTGCAAAGTTTGCTCGATCATAGGATTGGTCTTCGAAGAATGTTTCAGTCAAATAAATGGCTTTCATCTAGGTTTTCAAAATTGGACGTGGGTAAGGAGGTGAAAAACATTGTGCTGGATTCCTCATTTTGGAGGAAGGTACAGTATGTTAGGAGATCAGTTGACCCTATTGTGGAAGTGCTACAAAAAATCAATGGTGATGAGAGCCTTTCGATGCCATTCATCTACAATGACATGTACAGGGCAAAGCTTGCAATTAAAACCAATCATAATGATGATGCACGCAAGTATGGACCCTTTTGGAGTGTGATTGACAATCACTGGAGTTCATTATTTCACCACCCTCTCTATCTGGCTGCTTACTTTCTCAATCCATCATACCGCTATCGTCCGGAATTTGTGCCGGTAGGAGTATGATGTTTATTTATTTTTTTCAGAATTGATCCATATGAAGTAGTGAAATATTAGTTCTATTTGCATTCTTTTTAGCCTTTTCTTTTTGGATTTTATTTTGTAAAATACTTGAATCTTGTAGCATCCTGATGTTGTACGTGGACTGAATGCATGCATTGTTCGACTGGAACCAGACAGTACAAGAAGGATTTCTGCATCTATGCAGGTAGGAGTTTCCTAATTTAATTTTCCTTATCCATTTTCTGCACATGAATGCAGAACGTTCATATGTTTTCTTGTACTTTTTCAGATTTCTGACTTTGGCTCTGCAAAAGCTGATTTTGGAACTGACTTGGCAATTAGTACCAGATCAGAGCTTGATCCAGGTTATACCATCAAAACACTTAGGATGAAATTTTACCTATAAGCATGAATTGAACTGACAACGGTCTTGCTATATCTAGCTGCATGGTGGCAGCAACATGGGATAAATTCTTTGGAGCTGCAAAAGATAGCTGTACGTATACTAAGCCAAACCTGTTCATCTTTTGGGTGTGAGCACAATTGGAGTATACATGATCAGATCTATGGCCAAAGGCATAACCGTTTAGCACAGAAAAAATTGAATGAAGTTATCTATGTGCACTACAACTTGCGACTTAGGGAACGCCAGATAAGGAAACGGTCATGTGACTTAGTGGCCTCTGACTGTGTTCTACAAGAGAGTTTACTGTATGACTGGATTGTGGAGACAGAGAAACAAGCCTTGCAAGAAGATGAGGTACATTTAATCTGTTCTCTTTCAAGATCTTATGCAAAAGTGAAGTTTCGGCGCTAACAAATTTGAAATCATGGAGTACTTATTTGTTGTCATTTCGTTAACGACATGGTTGAGAATTGAACCTTTCCAGTTTTAGATGAGAAAAGAATGATGATGATCATAATAATAATAAAAATAATGGTAAAAGATCCTTAATATTTGACTGTTTTTAACTTCTCTTTATTCATAACTTGTTTTTAACTTAAATGGCTAGTGGCTTTTGCTGCATGGGACATTGGCTGTTGTGAAGGTTTTTCTTTTCTTCTTCTTCTTCTCTCTCTCTCTCTTTTTATTTTTTATTTATTTATTTATTTTTTTGGTATATCCTCCGATGGTCATGGTCCTGATTTTTATTTGATCCTGGAAGTTTGGAACATATTAGCCTGAAATTGCATGTATTTGCTTCTTTTTCTTTTTCCTTTTTCCATGTATTTACTTCTTTTTCTTTTTTCGTTTAGAAAGAGTAAATTGAAGTTACATCATACATGCTATGTAACATTTTGCTCCTTGATCTTTCAAATCATGCTGTAAACCGTGTTCGTGCAGCTGGCCATGTATGTTAATCATTACCGTTGAACCCATAGATAAGTAAAATGGAAAGAAAGAACAGAATCAAAATAAATCGTATAAAGAACTGTTTTCTAGTCAATTTTGCCATCTATTCCTCCTTCTCTACCAACAGCGGTGAAGCTAGTAAATTTATACTGGTTTTGGTTAGAAATTTCTGTATTGACTAAATGAACTGTCATATTTACTTCTTGATGAATCCTAGAACCGTTTGAAAAAGAAGAAATTAGTTGTTGATTGGAATATAGCATATAGTTTAGGCCTTGTTTGTCACCTATTATTTGAAAATTAAAGAGTTATGAATAGTATTTTTTGGAGAATGTGTGATTAAAGAGTAAAGAAACTTTATTGGTTTGTGTATAAAATATTTTATTGTGTGAATGTGTGGTGAAGAATAATACTGTAGCAAAACAATTTAAAATTTTAAAGCTTGTCAAATGAGAGTTTCTAATTGCAGATAAAGGTCGCTTGTTGCAGTTGGACACAAGCTTTATAGCCTTGATACGTCCCCTTTTACCTTTACAATCAAGTGCATTGCCCTGGCGTCGTGCTAAATGCTGTTTTAAATCTTGGATGTCATGTTCATTGGCTGCAGGAAATCCTTTATAGCGAAATGGAGCTAGGGGAAGCATACGAGACAGATTTAATGGATTATGAAGACGGGATTGCAGTCGAACCTTTGGAAATTTACCCGACTATTACTGATGCAGCCACCGACGACGACGACGACGATGCCGATCTCAATTTTCTTGATGACAATGTAAGTGATTAATTACTTAACTGTCCAGTGACCTTGGAGCCTCCTTTCTTCCAAAAATCAGTAATCAGCAGTTGTACGTATATTTTTCTAGTGTCCAGTTTTGTAAATGCTCATTAATCCCTCGACGAATTGAGTTGATACCAACACCCAGTTTTAAGTGAAATGGAAAAATGCTATCATGAAGAAATATTAGTAATGCTACACTTGTAGAAAAAAAATAAGAGAATGCTACATGTACATAATTGTCTACATAATGGTGTACATAATTACACGTGTCGTTGGATCCAACGTTTAATTCAAATCTCATACTTGCACATTAACAACCGAATGAATGCCACATCATATTATAATCTGTACACAGGGCATTTTCCCAAGAAATATTGGTGGCTTTAACAAGATTCGAGCACCCTTGGTACCTTTACTCGTCAAGGTATCGAGTTGGATTGTTCAATGTATTTCTTCGAGTTTGATTGTGTTGTTTGACATAATATCCAAATAAACAGATGATATCCAAATCTTAGTACCTCTACTAGATTCGTTTGACAAATTTTGTCGAGTCCAAGTTACAGTTTTCTTGAAATAATAAGTCATTTTCGTAAATATTTTATCATTTAATTTAATATGTAAGAATATTAATTAGAATTTAATTACCTTGAACGTTTCTAGAACAAGTTCGAGTCAAAGTGCAATGATTCAAAACACTTCCTTTTATGCTATTTCAAAAGATTCAATGAATTAATGATATGGACATAAAATATAAGATTTCAAATTTTCAATCCTAGCTGGAACAATGAATTCAATTCAGTTCAATTCAATTCATTTTTTAACAATGGCTGAACGATGAAATAGTCAAACGGTAAAACCAAATCAATTTGTAGTGATTTGATTTAGATTTCAATCTTTACAAATTATATCCAAATGCTCATTAATAATCACAACTGTGAAAACAAAATTTTCAAATTGGGTGTAGTGTTGAACTGCTTAGCCATATTCGTCAATTGTCAACAATTATTTTAGATTTTAATTTAAACTCCCAAATTTATTTTCTACTATTAATAATTTTATTGAATTTTAGCTAAATTTTGAAGTCAATTTATCCAAATTTCCTTATTCTTTTCGTAATTGTATTTCTATATTTTATTGATAGTCATGTTGTTTTGTTTTACTTTGAGCCGGGTTCCCTTAAATTTTCAAATGGCCCACTTTTTTTTATAATTGTATCTCAATTTTTTGGTCAGATCATTTAATTAATTATTTACATTTTGACTTAATTCCTAGATTTTACTACTTAATTACTAGAATGATTCGAGGGATTAATTAAATGGTCATTTTTGAAGATTTGATCAATGAGTTTTTCAACATACTACTTTGGTGGAAATTGAATGCAATTAAATACAATATAGTCCCCAAATTGCTAAAGACGTGTCAACTATTCAAATATCTATAATTATTTATGGGTTTGCATTCCTTACTTTTGGTATGATTATTAGTCACTTTAGAATTTTGTTGAGTGCAAATATGTTTGAAACGGTAATTTACCCTAAAAATTGGTTGATTGGTAAAAAGGAACTTTGTGGTGCGTTTGATTACGAGCATAAAATTCCTATGGAAAGAAAATGAATTCTAGACAATTTAATTGCCTAAAACTTATTTTTCTGAAAAATATTATTTAAATGAGTTTGATTAATTTAGTTTTTAACATTGAAAATATAATTGTCCATTTTCTATTGGTATGTAGATGAGAGTGTGGATAAATGAAAAATAGAAACCACTCCCTAAAGAAAATATTTTTCTTATTTTTTTAGGAAAATATGGTCATATGAACAAAAGTTGAAAAATATGGTCATATGAACAAAATTGGTATGTAGATTTGCAAAGGTCATGAAGGAGTCTGGGTACAAACAAAGTCAAGGGGACCACACTCTCCTCATCAAGCATTCAGCTGCAAGGGGAGTAACTGCTCTTCTAGTCTATGTGGATGATATCATAGCTACTGAGAATGATGAAAGAGAGAAGCATGGATTAAAGCAGAGGCTGGTGAAAGAGTTCGAGATAAAGGAACTAGGGAAATTGAAGTACTTCCTCGGTATTGAGGTGGCATATTCTACACAAGGGATCTTCATATCTCAGCAGAAGTATGTGACTGATTTATTGACTGAAACAGGGAAGATTGGGTATAAGCCAGTCTCTACTCCAATGGATTCGAACCATAAATTGGGAGAAGCCAAAGAAGAACCCATTGTTGACAAAAGAATGTACCAGAGGTTGGTTGGCAGACTTATATACCTTGCTCACACTCAGCCAGACATAGCATACTCGATGAGCATGATCAGTGAATTTATGCATGATCCAAGAGAACCCCATCTTCAAGCTGCTTATAGGGTACTACATTACTTGAAAGGCAATCCAGGAAAAGGAATTTTGTTTAAGAAAAATGACACTCTTGCTCTAGAAGCCTACACCGACGCTGACTATGCCGGTTCTCTAGTTGATAGAAGATCGAATACAGGGTATTGTACTTTTCTTGGAGGTAATCTGGTAACGTGGAGGAGGAAGAAGCAAAACGTGGTGGCAAGGCATCTGCAGAATCAGAGTTTAGGGCTATCGCTCAAGGATTGTATGAACTACTATGGTTGAAGATTATTTTGGATGATTTGCGAGTCAAATGGGAAGGTCCTATGAAGCTTTATTGTGACAACAAGTCTGCTATCAATATCGCTCATAATCCTATTCAACATGATAGGACAAAACATATCAAAATTGATAGGCATTTCATTAAGGAAAAATTGGAGGAAGGATTAGTGTGCATGAGCTATGTTCCATCAGTACGCCATTTAGCTGATGTTCTAACAAAAGGCCTGAACAGTTCGAGTTTTCATGATCTTGTATTCAAGTTGGGAATGGAAGACATCTATTCCTTAGCTTGAGGGGGAGTATCAAAGTGTAGATATTAGAATAGGAGAATTAGTTGAAATCCCTTAAATTGAGGGATTTAGTTAGGCAACTTTCCTGATTTAGATTCTTGATTTTTTCCTTGATTTAGTTTCCTGTCTTTTCTCTTGTAATCTCCTACATATTACCATGTATTATCAAAGGTGAAATAAGAGGATTATTCCATCAATTATTCACGTCATTATCTTCTCATACTTGGAAAATAAAGTTGGAAAATTGTCAATCAAACACTCAAAAAGTAAGAATTTAGATGAAAAAAAAGCTAATTAAACGTACTCTTATAGTGATTCATCAATATTTGTATAAGGTACAAATATGTACAAATATTGAATGATTCACAAAAAGTTATTGAAGATATTATTGTAATTAATATTTTTATTCATTTTCTTTTATTAGTTGTTTTATATCATTTAATTATAATCGATGAGTTCGTTATATATTATATTTTTAAATGAATTCATTATGCCCTTGTTTGAGTCCCATTTTTGTGGAGAAAATGAATTTTTGAATAGTATATTGATGGAAAATGTGTGGTTAAAAATTAAGGAAAATTTTTTGATTTGCGTATAATATTATTTTATTGAAGCATATGTGGTTGAAATATTATCAAAGCATTGTTGAAGAATGTATTTTGGTGAAAAAATTGGGCTCAAACAAGGACTATATATTATATTTTTATCTTTAAGGAGAGAATGAATCATATGTTATAATTGCAAAGGTTACATTAATTGATATTGGAAAAAGTCTACATGTACATAATTATTGCATATAATGTTGTTCATAATATGATTTGACAATCATTCGATTATTCATGTAAAAATATGAGATTTGAATTAAAGGTTGGATCCAGTGTATGTAGCCCTTCCCTTGATATTGTTGAAGAGATTAAAATACTTCTATTCCATTGTTGATAATAATGACTAGAATCATAGAACTCTCTCCTGTAATACTGTTAATTATATTATTCACGTGTTTGACGTGGAATTTTAGGTTCATATTTAACATTTAAATTATTTGATATGTGTTATTTTTTCTTCGTTTAACTCTGATTTTAAATCAAATCAAATCTAAAAAAATGATTTAGATTGATTTGATTTTGAAATTAAAATTTCAAATCACTTTAAATAATTTGATTTGAAAATTTATAACAAATAGAGTTCACCACTAGTTGACATGTGATTAACCATATTCTAAAATGCTGGAAAATAAAAAATCATCGAATCTATCTAATTATCTAGAAGAAACCTACAAAAAATCCGATTGGGTCGAACCATGGGCTATTTATTGGGCCCATTTTAAGGCCTCTCTCTGTAGCATGAACAGATCCAGTTCTCTCTCTCTCTCTCTCTCTTCCAACAGCATATAAACCATAAATCCGAATACCTACGGTCAATTTTATTTATTTATTTATTTATTTATTTTATTTATTATTATTATTTTTTTGATATCCAGGTATCCCAACTTATACCAGACTAAATCCTGGACCCCCAAAACCCTTGCCCCTAAAACCTTGAAGGGGGTAAATCGCGGGTTATGCCTTAACTGGATCACAGGTTCACCCCATTGCCTGTACATTTCTGCGCACAAGAGACCCTCCTCCATAGTGATTGCTCCATACCAAATTTTTTGGCCGCAGATTCCAGGAATCGAACTCTCCATCCTGTCACTGAAAATAAGACAATGTTGATTGATCCACCAGTTGAGCTGTGCCCCGGGAGCACCTACGGTCAATTTTAGCTTTGATTTGATGTGGTAGTACGTTATACATTGATTAAGCATCTTCAAAATGTCTGAAAACAACGCAGTTATAGGCCTTTCATGGGAACGTAGACTACCTGGTTTTTCATCTACATCCGCCAAAACCGAGAATTCCTCCTCCCATAATGCTGAAACCAGTGCGATCTACAAGCTCAGTTCGGAGCTCATTGACGGTCTCTTTGTTCCTCCTGACGACCCCAAAAAGCTTAAAAAATTGTCAAAGAAACAAATTAAAGACACTGCTGGAGAAAACTGGTACAAAGTTTCTGTCTCCCTCAATTTTTAGTTGGTTTCGTGATAAAATTCGCTTGATCACTGTTTTTTGTGAAGAAGGCTTTGATTTTTTTACGTGAGTTGGGGTTAAATTGTTAACAGGTTTGATATGCCCGCCCCAGTTCTAACTCCGGAGCTCAAGAAAGATCTTCAGCCATTGAAGGTAATTTCAGTTTATTTCCTTCCATGATAAATTGATTAAAGCTGTTTCCAGATCATACTAATTTGACAAGGAACGATCTGGAATACGAAAAACTGGACAAACTTCTTTGAGTGATTTATATCTGGTAATTGACTATGTGAAATTAATATGAGCCATGTCATTAAAAGGATTCTTCACACGTACAATTGACTCTAAATTTAGGTCGTATCTATTCTCTCAAACAGAATTTTAGCACAAACCATTAAGATTAATATTCATTAGTAATTAATGGTGGTAGTATGATAGATTCCGAGGGACAGAAATTGAACATTGAAAATGCAGTGAATGGTATGGAAATTTGTATGTAAGATATATATGTTTGAATCTATATTACTGATTATTGAATTGAATAAAGCGGTCCCAAACTTTTTAAGAGGTTTGGATTAAGCCGAACAATCATATATTCAAAATCAGAGACTGGGATAGGAGATTTCGTTGCAAAAAACGTAATCAGCAAGATTGCCATTTGACTGAGTTTTTTTATTTTCTACGGGATGTATGAAATTGTACTTCCCAAGGCTCCTACCAAGCAGTCCAGATACCTACTTGAAACATGTATGCAATGATGTTTTTAAAGATGAAATTTGAAACTACTGGTGTAGACTAAAACTTGTAAGCAACTAGAAATCTAAAACATTATTGATATGAAATAAACCAACAGTGTGAAGGGCTGAAAAATACTCTTAGAGGTTACGGTTTTTCTGAATATCTTTTATGTGCTAAAAGAAATCTTTTATATGCTAAAAGTAATCTTTTCTCTGGATATTACTACTTCAATGACTGGAAGTTGATATACTGTCAAAATCAAGACATTATTGATGTTGTGGTTGCACCTTTTTTGTCCAAATTGGCCCCTAATCTTTGCCCTGGAATGGGGTTATGTTGGCGGTTAGATTGTGTTGATGGTATTGTAATCATTGCTTCTTTTGTGTGAATTAAGGTGTACTAATGATGTGATGACAAAAAATGAAAATTTTATGGGAAGAAAATGTATGAATTAAATCCATTTGGAAGATTATTTGTTGATGAAAGGTGAATCTTTTTTATTGTTACAGTTGAGGAATGCCATAGATCCAACGAGGCATTATAAGAAGGGTGACTCAAAATCAAAAACACTTCCCAAGTATTTCCAGGTAAGTCAGGATTGCATCTTTATCCCTGGAACTATGCACATAACTTTCTATAAGAGATCCAGCTCATTCAATAAATTCATAAATCAGTGTAATGCTATAAAGAATTGCTACATTTAATTGATCAGGTGGGCACTGTGATAGAATCGGCGGAAGAGTTCTACTCTGGTAGACTCACTAAGAAGGAGAGAAAAGCAACCCTCGCTGATGAACTGCTTTCTGATCGTAACCTTGGCGCATATAGGTAAGCAACATTTTTCTAGTCTCCGAAACACATTTGTTCGAACAACACATTTAAATCCAGTCGATTCCATAGAAATATGTATATAGTACTTTCTTTTGCACTAAACTGATGAGGATGATAAATGTAAACTGCAATATTACATTTCAAGTAAATGCTTCTAAGATGAGAAAACTAGCTGTTTTTGTAACAGGAATTTTGAAGCCACGGTAACACGATAATAATGCCCGTAATTTTGTTCTTGTATTCCAATTTTATGCAGGAAACGCAAGGTCCGACAGATCGAAGAAGTGACCGACCAGGCAGGGTGGCCAAGCGGAAGAGAAGTGGCTGTACGCTATACAAGCATGCAATGGCTGGAAAGAAAAAGGCACACTTATGGCTTAGTTAATGCACGTCATCTCACATAACTCCAGAAGATCATAATGGCTGCCACCACTTGCACGAGCAACATTGGAGTAAATCGCTTCAACATTAAGCCCGTATTTGACAGATTTTGTTGGGAAGAATGAATTTTTAAATAGTAAATTTTTGAATAATGTATAATTAAAAAGTCAAAAAAATATTTTGAATTTCGATAAAGAACATTTTATTGTGAGAATGTATAGTTCAAAATGAGTATATAACAAAAAATGGAGTTCAAAGAATGGTTACCAAATGAGGGCGAAGACAGAAATTTCTCACATTTTTTAGATCGATTCAGTGTACCTTAGCCGGTTAACATGAGACTTCTATTCGAACAAAAGACAGGCAAATGAAGAGGACAAAATTGAAATTTCTTTTCTTGTCTGTCATTACTTTAGTTCAACACTATGTTGCACGTCAAATTGTTGGCTGGAAACAGAGAGGTTAGGTTACGCATTCCCACGTATGATGAACTTGCCATTTAAATGCAAATATTCACCTTCCACATTTGGAAAATATTGCCCTGCCCCAGAAATTGTATAGTATGGCATGAGCAATTTTATACAAACAATTAGACAACGATGAGCTCCAATATGTTACACTACAATCAGTATCCAAGTTCTTCACATTGAAGTATTTGCAACACGAATGATCAGGGCAGAGGTTCTTGAGAATCTCCCAATCGAGACAAATGAAGATAAGCATCAGTTCCTGTAAGTTGTTCAGACCATAGATCCACAAGTCAATTTTGAGTACCATGAGATAAGACTCAAAGTATGCATACAGGCATGTGAAATTAACTTTTTATGCATTCAGACAATTTGGTAGTGACCCTACTGTCACATAAATCGATGATAATCTAAACTCTATATGAATAGCATTATTCTTTTATTATTCAGGCATTTCGTTAGACTCCCAAGTTTTACCTACTTTTACCCATTTATTATTCACATTTCATAGGGCCTACCACTTAAAATCTAATAAAAACTTTGCCAAACATGCTCTTAAGCTGAAAAATGTGAACCCATTGAATAGCTTTATCCCATTAGTTTGTATCAGGTAAACTGTACGCCAATTAAGAATCAAAAACTCCTACCGGGCCCTTCCAAAAGGCATAAAGAATCCAAAAGCATTTCCATGAACCAAATAGGCTTAAAAGAATCTCACAATGCCTAGCTAGCTGACAGATTAAAATGAAGAAAATCTTAATTCTAACATCCAATGAAAAAATCATCATCCCACCATTCTAGTGGCATAGGGTGGAACTTGCGGGCTATGCACCAGATGGGGACGCTTTAACGATCAATACCGTGTATGCTGATATGTGGATCATTATAATTTTAGCAGGGTAAGCAAAATAGAGAGAAGTATCATACCATATCCTTCCATGGAGATAATTTGCAAATCACCTCCAAAATACCTTGCGTATAAACGGCTTATGGGAAGTCCATAGCCATAACCAGCCATGGTTGTAACAGTTCCAAGGTCATTGACTGAGTGCTCATCTAGGGGATTCTTTGCAGTACTGTAGAGATAGGTAAATATTTTAGGAAGACCGCTTCTTGGTATTCCGCCACCTTCATCAGATACCTAAATAAACAAAATGATCAACTTGTATGCCTTGTAGTGATGTAACATTCACAAAAAATACAAGTGAAGGACATTAACAGATTTTATGCCTAGCAGACTGGAGACAAAAAATGAAAGTACAGGGAAACTAACAGATTCTCTATTCGATAGAAAGTAAAAATAACATACCTTAATGGTAACATCCTCCAATCCATCGGCAACTATTATACGGATAGGAGGAGCAACCTTGTCTGAATCCACAAACTTCTCTTGAACAGCACGAAGGGAGTTTTTGACCAGCTCGAAAACCATCAAATGCAAGTGTGTTGGTACGTAACTGCATAAAAGCAAAAACTTTACATATAAATTGGAAAAAACATTACTAACACACACACAAAAACTACTTTTACTGGAGGATAACACTATAATTACAAACTTACGGAAATGTGAAGTTAGGATCTCCATAGATATTAACATCTGGTGCACTGCCATACTCCCGTAAACAAATGGAACGGGCATCCTCACTAGCATTTCTTGCAACCTCAACCGGAGACATTTTGGTATGTATATAACCAACACAATCAGGGAGAGGATTGGGATCGTGCAATGCCACATGCTGCCCTGAGGTGGCAATAAATTTGAAGCAAACAAATTGTTGTTTGACATAAATTTCTATCAACACCAATAAAATAGATGTGCCCATTAGAAGCTACCAATTTAAATAAGCAGGTCAACAAAAAAAGGGCTAACCAATGAGCATGCGAATCCCAATTCTTGACATATAAAATCGATCAAGAAATTGTTGAATTTCATCCAGTTCCTTGTAATCAATTTTAGGATCCAAATCTTTCTTCAACTGTTGAACTCCCAATGCCATCATAGGGACCACGTTGTTGTGCCTGACTTTAATCATCTTAATCATTTGTGTGAATTCCAACTCGTCACTCTTATCCTTAATATCGTGAAAGGATCTAAGGTCACGAAAAGAATCCAAATACCAATCTCTTACCTAGCAAGACAATATAAATAAAAAAGAGGTGTTGATTACGCATTCGACAATACAAAGTCTTCAACAAGGGATATATAATCACTACTTCAAACAACAAGAATCTCTCAAGTCCATTACAGTTGCCGTTATGGCAAGTGTAAGCTTAAAATTAAAAACAAAACTAAATTCAAGAATAAAAACAGGAATCATGAGTTGCAAAATCTCAGTAAACAATAACAAAAATCCATAATCATTCCCGAGAATGGTAAGATTATCTCCCATGTGTTTAGCCACAGTGCTTATGACTATTCAACAAAACTACTTGATTGTCCATTAAAAAATGCCATGAGTAAACTACTCAATAGAATGAAAACACGTTTTTAATGATCACTGGAAGTAAGTATAGCATTAAACAATCCATTTATCCACAGCCAAATAATGAAGTCACAATAATTTAAAAAGGCCACAGTTAGAGAGAGAAACTGTATATAACATTTATCTACCCTCAATTCTCTCATTATCCATTGATATAAGATTCATATCACAAAAAATTAAAATCCACTGAAACCCATAGTAACGATCTAATTGTGTCCCATAGTAAGTTCACAAAAAGTGGTTGTTGCGTCCATTTCTAACATTGAAAAAACCCAAGTAATAAAACAGGGAAAAGATGGAATCTTTGACACAAATGATACCTTCAAAACGGCGGGCTTATGGGACAAGCCGTAGGGGAGGGACTCAAGCTCTATAGCTCGGCGAGCGATCCGAATGGGAAGCTCCTTGTGGAGGAACTGGGAGGAAATGAGGAGATTTCGGGTTGTGGGTCTGGACCCGAATTCCATCATGTAACGGAGGCTGACGCCAGTTTGCTTCATTGAACCCCATTTCTGCACCTCCTCGATTAGCCCTTTAGAGAAACCGTCCCACGCTTTCTTCGCCGTCATAAAGGCCCTCCCAATTCTGGAATTCAATGCAATTTTAGTCTACAAACATGGGGATGAAAGTTAGGGTTCGGGCTGTGTTTACAGTGTTAAAGAGTGGTCCTGCGTGTCCATTTACATTCAAATTATCGAAGCAAATTGTTGGGTTTTGTAAATAAGCGCTGTTCAATGCGTGTACGAGGTGGTCCTTACGACGGATGGAGAGAGGGCCAAGTGTGTTGGGGAGAGAGAGGGGGACGACAGATGAGGGATATAAAATGGGGTTGGCCCAAGTGGAAAGGAAAAATCTTGGTGAACATATCTTGGTGTACATACACCCCGTACACCAAGCACAACCCAAGTGAAAATACTCCAGTTGAGGTTGGAAGAAAAATAAATAAATAAAAATTCTCATTAATTTTTTGTTAAAATTAGTTATATGTTTTAATATTTATATTTGAGTGTTTGGTAGAAAATTTTTCATTGTTATATTTAAGTACAATTACAAAAATAAATTTTAATTATAATGGCATCTGATATTGTCAAGTTGGACACTCGAGGAGGAGTGAGATGTCTCGACGATTATTATCTCGAGGACACTCTGGATCTTATAACTCCATTATGAGGTATGGTCCTCAGGGTTTATATGGTCTTCAGGGTGTTTACCCCGAGGACTCTACTCTATCTTCTTAAGCCCATAAGTCCATAAGTCCTCGAGGTTAAGTACTCGAGCACTGTCCTTCCAAACAAACTTCTTACTCGAGCCCATAATAAGTCTTACCTTCTAAGGATTCCAATGTGATTCAAACATCTCACCTTCAAGACTCCTACGTCCACAAGAACTCTACGTCAACAATAGTATTATTGGACATACAATTATATTACAAATAGTATACTTCTCTCAGGCAGGACTCCATTAGCTAAGAACGTTCAACTTATTCAATCCTATTAGGAGTGCACTACCTACCGCTATAAATACAGGACCCAAGTCCATTATTCAGATACGTTCTACATACACAATTTTTCAGCATATATTCATCTTGGCATCCCTTTTCTGACTTAAGCATCGGAGGGGCGGCGAACACACACATCGTTGCCTTTGTTTCAGGTATTTGGAAGGCTTTGTTCGTATCATCTTCAGTCGTCATCCTCGGGATCCGCCAGATACCACTTTTGGTAGCATCAGTATCTTTAAGTATTATTATTATAAAATTTATTTTTACTTTGAGATATTCACCATAATTATTGAAATGGGAAAAATCAATATCTATTTAATCTCAATATTTGTAAATTTTAAAAAATGGAAATTTGATGTAATGACCAGGGAAAAATCGAAAACGCAAAAATGTTTATAACTTGAATGATGAGCGGTGCTTTATAATTTTAAATACCAATAAATGTAAAAAAACTTTGCTATTTGTACACTGATTTTTAATACTTTAGTTGACACTTACATTGTTGTCAAGTGTCAATTGGAAGAAAAAACTGTTTGAAATTTAAACTGTCCAATAGAATAAAGTGTAAATCAAAGTGTATACTATAGTGTATATGTAGTAAAGTTCAACATAGAATACCAAAGATTTAGGATAGAAAATGAAATGATTTTATTCATGGGGCTAGAATTGGCATTTTAATGAACAATAATTGGAGTTGATAAAAGCACAAGGTAATAACTTTTGTTATTAGCATCCACAATTTAGCTTCTATTTGGCTCCCATTAAATTATATTTCATTTTTCTCTCTTTTATTTTCAATTACACAATCTTCTAAAAAATATTATTACATGTAAATCGAAAATTTTACCTTCTTTTTTAACCATTTATTTTTCAAAAATATTATTTCACCCATTTTCATTTCAAAAAATGAAGGCGAAACGATGACTTAATTGCATTGAAGATTCTCGATTTTTGTATTTACGTTATCAACTTTTCTTCATCATATTCTCATATTTAACCTTCAATTAATTAACACTTATTGCATCTGATATTTTTTGTTCAAATACTTTTGATTGTGTGCTATGAAATGAAGCGTAATATTTTATTGAACTTTTATGTTTGTCGTTTATTTTGATTATTTATAAATATGAGGGCCAAATAAGTTTTTTTACATCATTCTAATTGATTTTTCGATCGAAACTTTAATAAGAGACAAAATGTGCTAACTACTAAAATGTTGATGATAAGAATGCGATGTAAAAATTAAAAAATAAATAAATTAGAAGCATAAATGAAAAATGAACATAGGTTACGACTTCATTGCAATTAAATGTAATGCGGTTAAAACTTAGCCCCTGTTTCAAAACTCTATTTTCTCAAAATAATGACCATGGAATAGGGGCTTAGTTTGACAGAACAATCACATTGCACCATTTTGATGCCATTATTGCCATCGCATTGAAATGCCAAAAAATAAAAATAAAAAAATTCGACGTAAAACACGCTCATATAACACAATTTAAAATCATGGTAAATAGCAAACGAGTCAAGTTAATACGACATGAGTAAACTTGTCAAAAACTAATGCTTTTGCTGCTTCAGCCTTTACTAATGGACCTATTGTTGTGAATATAAATACAGCACGAATCAACTATTGTGTACATAATTGAAGAAATTCTTCAATAATTTTTGCTAATATTCATAACACAACCAACTCCAAAACACTAAAAACGGCTAAAAGACCAAAATAACCCTAATTAAAATAATTAATTAGAAGGCAATGAAAATACTAAACATAAATAATGAAGAAACTAAATTAAAGTTGGGCTCCCCTCATGGCTCATGCGCATTGATATTAGTGAATTTGTTACATTTTACTAATAATTAAGGTTTACTGTTAGGTGGATTTGACCTATATTCTAAATAGACATTTGTTGACAATTGAGAGTATGTTTGGTAAGGATTTTAATTCAATTAATATCAATTTTTTGATCGTTATTTTACTATTATAACCGTCATTTTTAAATTATTCTCTCACAAGTAGGACCTACTTTATCTCTAACGACCAAAACTTTCAATTAACAAAATCCATACCAAACAAGCACTGAATTATAATCACCCCTCAACTCTAAATCCCCGTTTGAACCCCATTATTTGAAAATTATAATATTTTGAATAGTATTTTTTTGAAAAATGAGTGGTTGAAAAGAAAAGAAATTTTTTTGATTTACGTGTAATATTATTTTATTAAAGATTATGTGGTTAATAATAAGAGAGAGAGAAATTTAATTTAATTTAATGAGAAATAATGGAGGCCAAACGGGGAATAAATTAAAAATTCATAATTCATTATTCTCTTCTTTTTATCAATCACACACTTTTCAATAAAATAATATTACATATAATTCCAAAATTTAAACGTATAATTTACGTTAACTTATTGTCAATAATTAATTATAGCTAAGTTCACATTAAAAATAAGTCATATTACTTCTTTAAAATAAAATTACTTGTCTAGGGTTAAAAATGGGGAAGTGAAGGATATATCAGAAAATAATTTTATATTTTAGATTTAATTTTTCAAATTGTTAATCATGCTTTAACATATGTCTTACCTGAACTTAAGTTTGAAGGATATCGAAATGAAACAGGTTTTGAGTGTGTCCCACCCGCATACACATATCCATCAAGTCCCAGCCTGTAATTCCGCCCTGTCATCACTACGATTATTCCTTGTCCTTAGCCAACGTTCCTTTCTCTCTCCACAATAACGATCACAACCCTAAAGCATCTCAATTTCTTCAATTTTCAAATTTCAAATCCATAGTTTCAAAACTTAACAAAAATTGGTTGAGATTGTTAAGAAAGATTGTTCATTTATTTTGGCTGCTGGGCAATTGTAACTGTGATTTGCCGGTGAGGAATTTCTTTTTCCTCGGCGGTAAATGAATTAGAAATAAAACGAAAGGAAAGAGGAACGAGATTAAGGTAAAGTGGCAAACATGGAGTTACAGATGAACCCTCAAATGGAGCAGATCCACGGTGAAATTCGGGATACTATGCGTGCCCTTGCGTAATTTTCCTTACTTCTTCCTTTATTTATATACACACTTACGGGTTTATAGTTGATTTCTCATGTGGATTGTTTCTAGGGTTATGGTTGTATTGATTTGCGCTGATTATTGGATTACGCATTGAATTGTATACAAATTTGGAATTGATTTTTTATCATAGTTTTTCTGAGTATCTACATGAATAAGGCTGCACGTACAGGTGCAGCCTTTACAGGGGCCTCACAGGCCCCTCACTGTGCAGGGGGAGGCTCAGTTGTATTAAAAAAAAATTGTGGGACCCACCCTCCGTGTTTTACCTGTCAGGGGCCTGTGAAAGAGGCCCCTGTACGTGCAGAATGACTCGGCCAGTTTTGCTTCTTCGATACCTTTATTAGAGATATCTGTACATGTAGATGGCTTCAACAAGAGTTTAGATAGACATTATATGTGGTACGTGTTTAATGAATTGAGTCGAAATAAGACTTTATATATGGGAAGTCTTAAATGAATTCTCTGGTCATGAAGCAATCACCAAGGTTCTTATAAATTTAAAATGCTTTATTAGGTCATATGTGTTAGCTTTTCTGAACAATTTTGTACCTTGTTTGGTTCATTTATCCAGAAATCTTTGTTTCTTTTTGTGATTAATGTCAGATGGTAAAATGCCTATGTTTGTTGGAGAAAAGATATTACCTCACTTAAAAAAGTGTGTTCCACCTCTCATGCCGTGTAGAATAAGGAGTATTTGGATGTCATATACAACTGCCCTTCACCAATATGATTCTCCTAGTAATATAAACCACTTGATTCTTCTAGTATTTATGAAAAACTTGCAGTTTATCAATCTCAGAACTACTTCTATCCACGTGGGATGATGGAAGTATATTTTCTGATATTTTTCACCTTTGATATTTTATAGTTTCTAATGCAAACTAATAAATTTTTTATAGCATCTGTAAATTCATGACAATTTCTTTGTTTTGATCAGAAATGGCTTTCAAAAGCTGGATAAGATTAAAGACTCCAGTAGACAAAATAAGCAGCTGGAGGAGCTCACTGCGAAGATGAGGGAGTGTAAAAGGTAAGCATTTTCTCCTGGAAAAGGAAATATCTGTTGTAGCGTTCTTAATATATCAAGTCAAGAGGGCAATGCTCCTAGGAAAGGGGAGTGGGTAAGCGGAATCCTTTCTCATTTGATGTTGCATGAATGAAGGCTGTTAAAGTTTCCTACCCACTCACTCCTAACGAAGAAATGGAGTAAGGGATACCTGTTTCTCCCCTTTCACATCGTGATTTCTCTTTTATATATAGTAGGTCTGTCACGGGACTCAATTGTAGCTGATGTATGCTGCAAAAAGATTTGTTAATATGATCCTGAAGTTCTCTCTGAGTCTCTGGTGCTGTATATGGAAAGAAACTTAATTAATGAATCGTAATCCTGTACGTTCACGCCAAATAATTAATTATCACTTTGCAACATTAATATAGTAGCATTTATTAGTGTTGATCGTATTCTTATGTTGATAATTGCTTCTTTGGACCACAAGATCAGCAGCATTTATTTGTTGTGATCTTTCAGATATAATGCTTTTAATTTTTTTTCATAATGATGTATGGGTTGCTAAATGTGTTAGGCTGATTAAAGAATTTGATCGTGAAATTAAAGATGACGAAAGCAGAAATCCTCCAGAGGTTACCAAGGAACTGAATGACGTGAAGCAAAACATGGTAAGCTTCGAAATTTCGTTAATACTTGAAAATGTGTTAGATGCACACAAACTGAACTATTTAAATTTATTAATCATGACAATGTGTTCTTTAGTTTTTATTTTCTAAGCTCTCGATTCATCATTTTGTCCAATGCACCCACCCCAACCTCCACCCACATCCCACCTGTGAATACTGGCTGTAGTTGACATTAAGACAGGACGGAACAAGCACATTTGTAAAGAAAACAATCATCCTGAGCTAGACCACTTTAGATAGCAGATCATAAGCATACTTTTAAATACTGTATTAAATTATTTTCACCTTATTAAGTGTCATCTGTGATGCATTGACACTTTATTGTACCGGCATGTTAGGAACAGACACGACTCCTACATGTGTCGGAGATGCCACATGGCATATCCCTATTTTCATTTTTTTTCTCCCCGCAGGGGATAGTTGCTGACTCGTGGCTATACGACATACTGACTTGAGAAAAAGAATCGCAAGAATGACTAAAAAATGAAACTAACCTTCTATCTCAATGTGCTGTGTATTTCTTGATTTCCTCCCTTCTGAAGTTGGGCTATCTCTCTATCTCTTTTTCCCCCCTCGCTGGCTCTGTTTTTTCCATCTCAGTGGCTATGTGGTTTTGGACCCTTTCTCCTTCCTTGAAGAAAAATTGCAGGCACCAAGTAAACCCTAGTTTTTGAACTTTTTTAAAAGGCTAGAAACTGGTCTTTACTAAATGGTGTCCACTTAAAAACCTAATATCTAGGTCAACTGGCTTTAAAAATCTGTCTTTTGTATTTCAAAAGTAACTAGTCTTTTTAACAATTTAAGAAACAATAATTTGCCTCTATGTCCTAAAAGGCTATTTAAAATTTTATTTGCTTTGAAAATCATGTTTGTGTCAGAGCATCATAGAGTGACATTGAAGATTTGCGTGTTATGCATGATTTGATGAGGTTCTCCTTTTCTAGTTTTTAGTTTTGGCTGGCCGTTGAAAGTCAATCATTTTGTTGGATTGAAAAGGCACAGATGCACACTGGAGCACCGGCATACTGCTGTAGTTTATTGTTATGAATTTTCTTATTTTATCTTTTGCAGATCAAAGAGTTAAACTCTTATGTGGCTTTGAGGAAAACGTAAGTTCATTGTTTCAATTCAATTTTCTTATTATTTTGTGCGTGACTGATGCTGTCTGAAGTCTAATTATTCTTTTAAAATGTTTCCTCGTCAAACATGGCTAACAAGCATAAACACAAACACATGATTAAGACACGAGCATGCATGATGTTGTGGCACTTTCTAAAAAAATAGAATCTGACACATTTGGGACAAGTTGAATAGAAATTATGTTTGTTGTCTATTTTTTGAATTAATATCCTGGAAAACTTATAACCCTAATCCATTTTTTATTTTGTCTGCATATACTATATAGTCTCAAAAAAATGAAAGATTCGAGTTAAACATGGTTAAAATGGTAGTTTAATGATTAAGAAAAATACGAGTAGGTTGATTGGTTTTTGAATTAGCTAATCCAACAAGATAAAATAGAATATAGTATCGAAAGATTAAAAAAGTTAATGGAACCACGGAATCGTCTTTAAAATGCTATCAATAACAAAAGTTATCATCTCTATGCATATCTTGGACAATCTCTCTCTCACGTTTCCATTTTGTTTTAGTTATTTTAACCATTTTTACATAATTTGTCCTCTTTTGAATGTTAAGGTTTGCCATATTGTAGTGTAGCCCATATTCATTCCAAAAATAGATTTTAACCTCCAAAGTATATCTTTCAGTGAGTCGTAGCAGTGTCCTTTACATATCCCTGCACATATCAGACATGTATACCCTAGCCCTGGGCCATGCAATCTGGATACCTGGGGATATATTTACTCCAAGTAAAATGCATTTGTTGTAATTTACTGCAGAAAGATAGATGGAACAGTACCATGAAATTTTTCTAATTGGTTTTTCTTCAAAAACTTATTTTCCATCTTTGCCTGAACCTATTGTTGTGATGCAAAATATAATATTATTATGAATTCTATGTAGCTTGATTGAAAAAGAGATCATATTTTTTTTCTGAGATTCCCTGCAATAGTATGATACTTATATGTATAAAGATAAACTAACATGCAAAGCCTAAAATGCCTCCATTAACTCTGATATTTAGTGCCAAAAATATGATCTGACAGGACTAATTCTTATTCTTTCTTGCATTTGGTAGTCCATGAACTTGGTAATTGTGACCAACGAATTAAGGCTTCATTTTCACATCGAATGCTGACAATTTATTCATAGTTGGTTAGATTCTCTAGAACTCTTGTTACATAATATTATATACCAGAATTTGGAATTCGTTAGATCAATAATAAATCCAGACATGTTCAGAACGGTTCTGTTTTATTAATATTTGATATCAATTAGATTATCTTCATGGCCAGCTCAAAAATATGCAAAGATTGTTCACCTGGAATTATGGAAGTGCTGATGCATCTTGAAATCAACTTGACTGCTTCCTTTTTCTCGCTATGCTGTGTTTCCCCTATTCTATCTTACTTGGAAGTTGGGAAATTGCAGGTACACGAGCACTCTCGGAAATAAAAGGGTCGAACTCTTTGATATGGGAGCTGGTGCCAGCGAGCCTACAGCAGATGAGAATGTTCAAATGGCATCAGGTGGGCATTAAATACCTAGTCATTCTCTATAATTGAAGTTCAATTTCTAAAATATGATAAGCTGTGTGGTAAAGATAAATGCTGACATGGTACCGAAGTGATAATGTTTGTACATGGGAAATATATTACTATATATCACCTTTCTTCCCAGTGGCTGCCACCTTTATATCTTTTGGTTACGGGCGCAATTATGAAGTTAACAAAATAGTTCTTGCAACTAAGTTATGGTGTTTTGTAAGTAGATTAGCATCTCTCATCACAAGTTACATTCAAGAACTAGAGATAATATTCCATATGTTTAACCCTGCAAGTCTTCTGCTTAAAAAAGATAAATAAGATAGCTATTGAGTCTGTTTAAATGATGAGTTATTAGTCCCCATTAGCTTCTGTTCTTTCACGTCTTCTATTAGTTTTCATTACGTGGATTATTCTATAGAAATGTCAAATCAGGAGCTTATCAATGCTGGAACAAAGACAATGGACGAAACTGACCAGGCCATTGAACGCTCCAAACAGGTCAATTTAATGATTATTGCATATTCTGTAAATGGACAATTGAAGTGGACGAAACTGACCAGGCCATTGACTGTACTCTAAACTTTCTATGAACTGTAGGTTGTCCACCAAACAATTGAAGTGGGAACTGAAACTGCTACTACCTTGAAGGGCCAAGTGAGTGCGCACTTCCTTTACCCTCTTGAACTGGTCTCAATTGTTTCTTTGCATAATCACTGAATCATCTGAAATTTGTACAGACTGAGCAAATGGGCCGTATTGTTAATGAACTGGACACAATCCAGTTCTCCATAAAAAAGGCTTCACAGCTTGTTAAGGAGATTGGCAGACAGGTAATGTAGTTGAGAGTGTCATATCTTTCTTTCCTTGTACTATTTTTCTTTCCACATCTTTTGCTTGCTTAAAATCATTTGAACTCTATCTACAAACTAATGTTAAATGCAATCGTATCACAATATCGAATAATTTTAGTTTGCTCATTTGACCTCAAAATACGAGTCTTCTTGGGACAATGAGATGGTACTAATTTGTGAGACAGTTAGATGGAAACCTCTAATCATGCTATTTAGTAGGTTTATATATTTCTTCCCGTATATGTTATAAATAATAAAGTTCATGTGTATTCCAGGTGGCTACGGATAAGTGCATCATGCTTTTTCTTTTTCTGATTGTATGTGGAGTAATAGCCATAACTGTCGTGAAGGTATGCTCTTATATATAGAATCTATTTACTTCCAGAATCTGATACTATAACTATTTTCTGCTTTCAATGGCTAGGTTGATATCTAAGTTGCATATTCGACAAGGCATATAATTAAAGCTGGAAAACATTCTTAACATTGTCATTGTACTAACAATTAAATACTATGTTTTAGGAAAATTCTACTTGTACGTAATTATTGAACATAATGGTGTCCATAATGTGATGTGGCAATCATCCGGTTGTTGATGTTCAAGTGTGAAATTTGAATCAAAGGTTGGATCCAGTGCCACGTATAATTATGGACACCGTTATGTAGACAATTATGTACATATAGCACTTTCCAATGTTTTATTGGTTGCTGCATATAATATATCGGGTACAATGACACATTATATACACCCCAAAATCTGTAGTTGATGTTCTGTGATTTGTTATTTGATAGATTGTGAACCCCAACAACAAAAATATACGAGATATTCCAGGACTGGCTCCTCCAGCACCTACCACAAGGAGATTGTTGTATGTGAAGCCAGGGCAGCATTTTTATTAACTTTCTCCTCTCGGATAGCAGAGAGTTACTGTGCCATTCAATTTCATTATGAGGCTGCACTAAACAAGATATAGCAATGCTGCTATTTGTGACATCTGTTCAGGTTTTATGCTAATCAATTCTTGCTTGAGATGTGCATATTTGTGTTTTCTTTATGTAAATCATTTCGAGTTTGTTTTTACCTTCAGGTTTTATTTTTTATTTCGTTTTTTTCATATGAATGCGATTTTTTCCCCCTGTAAACCTGAGCGGTGCTAGAACACTATTTTAGATTGGACGAGATCTTTGGAGCTGTGTATGTAGCAAACTTAACGGGATTTCAATACAATTTGTAGTTCTCGATTGCAATAGTTAATTCTTTATATGCTGATCATTGAGAATTCCATCAATTTACGAAATGGATTCCAAGTCGAGTATCAGGACTACTCAATTGTATGCTTGACAAAATATAGGAAATAAAATTTGAATAATTCTTGGTGTACATTATGGACACCATAATGTAGCCCATAAAATTTTTGCTTGGACAACACATCACCTTCAAATAGTTGTACAAGACTACCCTACACAATGCTGCAGAAAGTTGAAAACTTCAATCAGCTATAAAATGAGAAATGCTACCTGTACAGGCAGCATGATAGATGAACGCGTGGTGTGCATCTGTCGGTGGATTTGAAAACTGTTTTTGCCAAACAGTTTGGCAAATTGACAAGTGGCACAATTTGATTGGATGATGGACAAATAAATTCAGACAAGTCAATTTCGTGTCGTCACCTCCTCATTTGTAAAAATTTCTACTCTCTCATTTATATAGATTGAGTTTCCATTTTCTCTTGGCTCAGATATGTAGGTTTGTTTTCTAATTTAGAATATTTTATTTTGTTCCTTTATCAATATACTATTATTCAATTTTCTTTACTTAATATGCTAATTTCTTGAAATTATTCAAAAACACATTTTTCACTTCTTGAAAACATGAAACAACTATCATTTTTTCTTCTTTTTTAAATTAAATCATTTAATTTTTTTATGAATTTCAACAATAATTTACTAATACATATTGAAAATTAAACAGGGGTAAACTAGGAAGATCTTGACAAAAATTAATTTTCAATGATATTAAAGATATTTCTTAATTTGTGTGAAAAATGAAACAAGCCTATATAATTGGGATAGAGGGAGTATACATTTCATCTGTATAAGGTGTTAAATTCTTTCTCCATACGAGAAAATGACAACTCAAACACTGACCAGCGCCGTGTTCAAGAACACGTACTCCCACCTTAATTTATCGGTACTATACAAAACAGCCATAACAAAAGTAGCCACTGGCACTGAATAATTAGAATAAGAAACGTAGAATGCAATTATACTTGGATTGATTTGTGACGTGAAAAAAAAGATAAGGTTCAATTTCTACAAATCCATGGCTTCTCTGAATTGCTACCACTTTTGACACAGATCAATCTTGACTCTTAGTAGGATGACAAAATCCCTATCCCTGTCTTATCTCGATCCTTTATTTATTTTATATATATATAAAATTTAAATTTAAATCGTAATTAGCAAAGAAAATGAATAAGCAAATGAGAGTATTTTAAGAGCAATGCTATAAGTACATATTTTGTACGGAAAGACAATATGATTGGCTATTGCCGAAAACAACTATACTAAATTTGTTAAAAAAAATCTGTACTTGTAGATTAATACGTATTTTAATTCATGTCTCGTCTTTCGAAATCCTCGAGAGGATAGGTGACATCTATTGTCATCCCTATCTATTAGATCACACCATTCAAAGTTTGATAACGATGCGAGAGTCTAAATCCCACCCTTGGATGGTGGTCCACATCCATTTTGTGTGGACGGTCCTACTACACTAAAATGGTAGTGCCCAATCACACTGTTTTGCTCATCATGCAGATGCCATGTGCACGCGGACTACAACATGAGTGGCCGGGCCATCTATTTACCCCGTCATTGCAACCATGATTTATAGGCGCATACATGATCAATCCACTCATATGAATACCATGTGTATAGCCAATGCCAGCCTAGGAGTAGGAGAGATGCCAAATTAGTACATTTTAGAAAAGCAAATCAATCTAAAAGCAAGTACATTATTAGGTTATTTTCTATCGTGGGATTATCTCACTCATGAAAACACATTTAGCTCTTGTTTGAGCTACATTATTTTTCGTGAGATACTTTTTTGAATAATGTATTGATAGAAAATATGTAGTTAAAAAATAAAGAAAATTTTTGAATTTGCGTGTAATATTATTTTATTGAAAAATATATGGTTGAAATAATGTCAAATCACTGTAATGTATGATTGAAATAATATCAAATCACTGTTTAAGAACGTATTTTTTTTTTAAAAATGAGGCTCAAACATGACATTATTTAAGTTTTTCAACATAGGTAATTGAATACTACCAACTTATAGGAAAACATACCAATATTCGTTTAACCAACTTTATACTGCATTGATATCCGCCCAGCAATGATTATACGGATAACTATAATTAAGGTTCTTTTGCCACGTCAGCAGTGGAAAGTTTTTATCCTACCCAATGGGATAGGAGATCGGAGTTGTTAGTTCCAATAATAGTAAATATGTTCTACTTGGCTCCTATTTGGTTTTTTTTTTTTTTTTTAAATTAGATTTTTAGTTGATTTTGATAAAAGTTGATAAATTGTGTAGTTGAAAAATTGATAAAAATTGTGAATCAGATGAAATATGTTATTAAAATTAATTTTTAATTTAGTTTTTTTGTCAACCTTTCAGTTAAACCAAAGGGGGCTCGGAGTTTTTACATATTTTTCCATTCAAAATTCAGTTAAATGAAATTTCAAAGGAGAAATTGTAAAGAAAGAACAGAAAACGAATCAAATGATTTAATATAAGCACTAGTTTGATTCGTCTCTATCACCAATCCACGTAAAAGTCTCGGCTATGAACGGGCGGCCTGAAATTTTTGGAGCCTTATGCCAATTTCAAGTATGAAACCCTTATAAATATTAAAAATATTCAAAGTTATAAAAATAAAAACTAAAACTTTCAAATTTCTAAATTAAATGTACTCTTTTATAATTTTTGGTAGAAAAATAAAAAATTGTATTTTTACAATCTATATTTTGTATCACTTTTTTCAATGAACACCGTTGTCGTCAATTCTACCTTTCTTGTGACATTATTGATTTGAGTATAGGACTTTATCAACTAACAATAGAAATATCCTAAAAAAAAGTGGTAGAACGAAGCTAGCATCTGTAGTTGTTATTGACGGTGTACTTGATGCAAATGGTTGAGCCTTCTAGTATAAGAATGACAGGGAGAGAAGTTTCTTCTTTGCTGCAATTGAGCCCAAGAAATATAAAGACGTATAGAAGCAACGACGGATCCAAGTCATGTGGGGTCAAATGAACCCACAAATTTTTTGATTTTTTTGCCATAAAATAATTGTTTTGATCCTTTTATGACTTATTTTGATGCACTCATTTTGGGATGCCAAATGAAGTTGAAACATTGCATTCTTAATATAATTTCGAAGTGTTCATGACCTAATTGTTCGCTCGTTAATGGCGTGTGAAACAACCAGACATAGAAAAAGTTATGACACATTAAAATAGTTCATTCCAAACTAATATTTTGAGAATTTAGATAACACGCTAACTTTCAAAATCCACTGATAATGGTATACTATCCAAATCCACAAATCACCTGCGTCATCTAGAAGCTCATTTTGAGAACTATATTGCAGTCATATTGAATGTTTCAAACTAATATTGAAAACAGCTAAATATGTGTCAAACATACATCTTAAAAGAGGCGTCTAACTCGTCTTTTATTTAAAAATTTCAATTTTTATTCATTAACGTTTATTATTTTTACACGATAAACTTTACAATATAATTTACATCATTTTATTAAAAAAATTGCATGGAATATGACATCAAATTTTTTAGGATCATTACAGATTAAATGTAATTGGAATTACTTTCGAATTAAATTTAAATTTCATTTACTTTCTAGATTAAATGTGAATTTTATTTCAATTCATTTACTTCCTACATTCAGTTTGATTTACTCGTCGTTAACTCAACAACTGTCAACGAAACGAAAAACAAAATTATAAAAGTAGCAAAACCCGTTTAACAATATTGATAATGAAATAATTAGAAAACATTTTCAAAGTATCGAATGCATATGTTATATATATATATATAACATTATATTGTTTTTTAAAAAATTACACTTTAATTTTTTGCCTCAAAATACAAGAGGTCTAAGTCTAAAAGGAATAAAACAAGGGAAATGCTATGTGTACATGAGGTGTACACAATGTATTACACTCCTCTCATATGGAGGGGATCCACAACTATTTAATTGTGTGTGGATCCCCTTCAGGAAGGGTGAAATGTTATGTGTACGGGCTTAAAGCTCTTCGTCTTCTTGTGGATTTTCAATGCTCAACATAATGAGAAGACAAGAACAATCTTCTTCATGGAAACTTGTATTATCAAGAAGAAAAGTGCTATAATTTTTTTCTCGATGCTTGTTAAACAATCAAATATACTTTACATACTTCAACAAAATAAAGAGTGACTAATCTAATGTTTAACATTTTAATTAAAAATTAGTATGTTTTCTAGTTGAACAGTTCAAATGGGACTTCAGGCTATTGCCCACTCCACCTATTGTCGAGACCGGCACTAACAATACCGTCAGTAGTATATTTCATGGTAAAACAAATTTCTCTAAATTTTATGGTATGAACGGTATCTTTTAATTGTGTCCAAACAAATCCAAATGACCCCACAAATTCACGAAATTGGACTTCTATTTAGCATAAATAAATTTGGAGAGTGATATTCCAACTCATACATTTTGATTTTGAACAAGATTTTGAGAAGAATTACTCTTTTAAAGCACGTTATTGGAATTTATGTTTTAAGAGAGTTATTTATATCTTTAGTCTCTATGAAAAAAACCTAATTGAATTCAATTTTAATCTCCCAGATGCAGAAGCCAGATCAATTGTTGGCTATAACATATGACATGCGTGGGATGTAATCCTTAATGGTTCACGGTTGGCAAAAGTCGTTGTCTCGCAGTCTATAGGGATGAGGATTCATTATCAAGAGGTAGTGGATTTCGACTTTTTTTTTTTTTTCGAAGCAGCACATGAATCGAGTTCTTGATGCTTATAGCCTTGTGGTATAGTTCAGTTCGTACTCGCATCAAGCCATGGCTCGAATAATATCCTTTCCTTCATCTGCAAGATATCGATTTTGTGGGAACTCCAATATGTCGTCGTGAAACTATAGTTTTCTATTAAAACCATTA